GATAAACTATAGATTAACCACCATTCCTGTTTGGATGTTATGACAAACTGTGGTTAGTTGAAAATGGTTGTGGGTGCTTTTGATCTGTGTGGCTGTGGCAGAGGAGGAGGAACAAGCAGACTCATGGAACAACAACGAATGTGTAATCCAGGTTTGTTGGCATTTATTTTATCTTGGAAAGATGGAGTAACATCCAAAGTTGCTCACTCTGAATTACAACCAAGTTGTCTGTCAAGAGATATTGGCTTTCTATTTTGTATGGAGCAGCTTTGTGGGCCCTAGGCAGTGTTTGAGGGGCAAAAGAGCCCATCTAGTGAAAATGCAGAGTGTGAGATGATGAGGTGAAGATTACAGCTTGCAAGGTGCAACAGAAACAAAGTGTAAACTCCCACCTTTGGGAGCTCACAATCATCATTATAGGATTGTAGCCATAATGTCAAATACAATGTATTTTCTTCCTCCCTGCCTCAGAAATAATACTACTTCTTTCAAAATGACTTGCTGTTTTTTTTAAATGCTGATTAAAAACATGGTAATGGTTTATCATGCCATCCAAACCAGCTCATTAAGTATAAATACTTGCAAGCAGACATTTTTCCTCTTTTGTTGGCTGTTGCTTAAAATTCCACTTATGTATCTGCTTGCCAGAGATGGTTTCTTGGTAATGTTTCTGTTGCTGGATATGAGAGTGTTGGGTTAGTCACACACCAATGTCGCCTTGCATTTTGCAGTTTGGGCTGTGATTCATTCTCATAGCAGTCTCATGGCTGTGACAAGTGCCATTTTCTGTAATAATTTGCACTTCCTTGACCTTTATGTTGTCAGCAACTGGCAGGAACTAGAATAACAATTGGATGGCATTTCTGGAAGGAGCTATTCAGTTTCATGTATGAATGAAATGTTAGCTCACTTTATGCTGTATAGATATATTTGCATCTTTACTATTTGCAATGTTCTCCAAATGTTGATTGATTTAAGCACTTACAAATTGATCTTCATTAGAGCCACACTCCCTTCTGGCAGCTCACTGCACTGTTGGTTGCATGATTAAGGAATATATCAGATGTGTAGAAAGTAGTACCCACAAAAAGGAGTATGCATTTTTACAAGATTCTGTTTCTCTTTGGAGACTGTGCCATTCACCCGCAATGATCCCACTAATTTCCAGGGATATCATTTTGGGCTAATGGGGAGTCAGCTCTGTGTTGCTGGCATTTGAAAAATGTTTAACCTTAGAAACCACTCTCAAGTCACAATATTGCAGAGCTGAGCAGGCATCAGATGCCACCTGGTAGGAAAAGGGAGTGTTTATAGCAGTATGTCAGATTCACACGTGCCGTTTGGTGATGAGAGCCACTAGAAAAATGCCACTACATGAAAGCTGACTCACATGGCATGTAGTTCATTGTGGCAGCTTTGACTGGTCATTGTTGTAACATGCATTAATACACTGAAAACTTCTGTGGCTATGTGGGGAGCTGTTCACATAAATGACTTGCTGTGTATAGTTACGGCTGCTCTAGCATTGTGAGGCTGCTCCCCTTTCTTCAACTGTAGTTGTAAACTAGGACTTAAAATATCATTAAATGAGATTAGCAAATCATTCTTGCTTTGTTTCCTTTTTTGCTTTCATTCTTCTGCCACTATCCTGAAATACCAGTCTATTGCTTCTTGGTCCCACACCCAAAAAGCTGGTTTAGTTCTTTGAAAGCTGCTAGGATATCCTCTTGTCTCTAAGCTGCTTCTTTGACTTTTACTTACATTCATATATTTTGACTGGGTTCCTAAGAACCATGTAGATCTATGCCCAATAGGGCTTTGCACATGAGTTTCTTAAATAATAGTGGCTCTAACCACCCACACTTTGAAATGGGGAATATTTTTGTAAATCAGCTTGTGATGTGTCAGAGGATTTGCTGTTCAAAGGGGAGGTGAAAGTCAAAGTCTTTGCTGTGCACCCAAATCCATGGGCATGTTTTCAAATTAGTTCTGTGGATCACAACCTCCACGTGCCTTATCATTAGCTGATATCTCTTGCTTTTCCCCCCTTATCTATAAATTTTAACAAATGTGAGAGAAAATTGCCTATAATACACCAATATTATGCTCAGCCTCTTAGCAAAAAATAAAATTGACTACTTTACCTCCACTTCTGGACAAAATACATACATATGAGGAAAAAATGAATATTTGGGAAACCTCAAAACAGAGAAGTCAACAGGTCAGGTTTTCTCCTAATCCACATATAGCATTTCTGTCTTTGCAAGTTGGCAGTGATACTGAAAAGTAGGATATTCGTTCTCTCAGAAGATGTTAATAAACAGCAGATAATTCATTTCAATACAAAAAGTTTATTGTACTATGCAAAGGACATGACAAATACATCAAATGGATGTTCATAAACAACAAAATAAATAATTTCAGTATTATAAATATAAATAAATATACTATGAACAGAAATTCATCTTTAATTTAACTCTGAATATCCAATGCAGTTTATAGCAATTTTGTCTCATTCTTTCTTCCTGATCTTTTTTGCTGTCAAAGCACACAAAGCAACTTTATGTGTCACTTAAGGAACAAGAACTGTTTCTGCCAAGGCATTCCTGTATCCATATGATAGCAAGGGATTCAAGAATCACTCTCAGGTTTCATTACATGGAAGACAGATTAGCATGTAATGAACAATGTTTTCAACTTGATATAAACCACAAATGCAAAATCTGCATTCAAGAGGAACCTTGTTATATGGTCCATCCCAAAACTGCAGTTGGCAAAACTTGAAATTGCAACTCAATAAAGGCATTTCTTAAAGAGGATACTCTCAGTTTGGACAGATACTAGCTCTATAATGTTCTGTTTTCAAAAAAGGAAACCACTGAGAAAATTTCAAGATTTTAATTAATTGCAGGTCTTTTCTAGAGTCCATTAACTGTCCTTTATCCAGGGTAAAGATAGTATTCAGATCAGAAATATAATAGCTACATGCCAAATTATGAAGCCTTGACTTCCAAGTATGATTTTCTAGTGGACAATATTTAATATTTCTATAACATCTTTCCTTCCAAAAGGAAGACCATACAAAAAGTACCAAAGAACCCATGTAAAAATACCAGCGTTAGAATCTGTGTAGCAGAGTTGTCTTTAAGCATTAACCTATTAGTCATAAGAGGCCCGAAATTTCTTGCAGGCAAGTGAATACGCTGGCAGAGGAGGGATGGAGCACTCCATCTTCTGTGCCTAGAGGAGGAAGTCAGCAGCTTAGAAATGCAGCTCTCTGTCTCCTTTCTGCCAGTTTACAGCAAGCCAGTGCAAGAAAGAAAAGAGAAAGAAATCAGTTTAGTAATTTTTGCAGCTCATTCATAAGACTGCAATATGGACATAGTAAGTATCTGAACAAACAGAGCAGCTGAATACCATACAAAATGCATACTGGTAATAAATATGACACTTCTCTCCAACTAATCAAATGATAATACTCCATATCCAGGTAAAAAACTCAGTCCTGCAACCAGTAGTGATTAATTATCAGGGAATAATAATTGTTATTATAATAATAGCTATCTGGGCTTGTAAATATGGTCTAGTAAATACAACTTGATGTTATTGATCGTATTTCATCCATAAGTTATTTATTTAGTTAATTATTTAAAACTTTTGTATACTGACCCATCACAGACATCTCGGGACAGTTCACACTAACAACAATAAAATAAGATAAAAAGTAAAAGTAGCACAGTATCCAATATTAGATGTAAAATCAGAGATTAAGATAAATTAGCAATTAAAATATTGGGAGAATAAAAAAAGTTTTTGCCTGGCACCAAAAGGAAAGAAACTTTGGCACCTGGTGAACCTCTCTGGGGAGCATGTTCCACAGTCGGGGCACCACCACAGAGAAGGCCCTCCTCCAGGTAGCCACCCTCCTAATCTCTTTCAAGGAGGGCTCCCAAAGGAAGACCTCTGCCTCAGATCTCAAGGGGCAGGAGGGCACATAGGGAAGAAGGCGCTCCTTCAGGTATCCAGGACCCAAGCCGTTTAGAGCTTTATAGGTCATCACTAGCACCTTAAATTGGGCCCGAACTTCAATTGGTAGCCTGTGTAAGTGATAGAGGACTGGCGTTATATGTGAATAACTGCCAGTTCCCATTAATATCCTGGCAGCTCTATTCTGAACCAACTGAAATATCCAGACTGTCTTCAAGGGCAGCCCCACATAGAGCACTTTACAGTATTCAATTGGGAAGTTAGCATAGTGTGGGTCACTGTTGCAAGGCAATGCTCAAGTTATTCGTTGATAAGCATGGATTTGCATAGCTTGATTCTAAAGTCTAACCTGGATTTTTAAGTATACTATGGAATGAGACATCATTACAAAGCAAATGTATTTATATGTTTGTTTATGCAGGTTTTGACTCAGTAACTAGAAGTTATGATGCAGGACAACTGTTATTTAATCTATTAGTTCTGTTGTGAAAATAGGTCAACACTGACATATGGCCTATTTTGCTCTTTCTACTTTTCATGATTGCATGTTTGTACTTTTTTAGATTAATACATTTTTAATCAGCATCTTGTAGTTTTATGGCTACATTTCTTTTAATGTCTGTTCCTTTGAACAAAATACACTGTAGTTTTCATTTGCTTTTAATTCTACAGCCTGACAGTTTCTGCATTGTCAAGATTTCTAATCACAACTCTAAAATGGCTCATAAATACATTATACATATGTGTTTTCAACCTCTAAGATTTCAAACTACCGCCAAGAGTGGAACTTTTAAATACAATGACAAAATATTCCAGTCTGTTCTTGCATTGCAGTCGTTTCCTTTAAGTCTTTATTTGTTCTTGACAGGAGGAGCCCACTGGGAGCAAATTGCCTGGGGGCATCAGTGCACAGCTCCTTCCCAGTAAGGCAAGACTTGCTAGAATTCTGTTTTACCTTCCAAAACAGATATGGCAGATTCCAAGTACATTCATTCCCTTCTTCTTTTTCCCAGGACCACATGGTTATGATACTTAAAATCTATGATGCCTCCTGCCATGGCAGATGCCCTGGACATCTGGGCAGGAGATTCACAGATTGCAGCAGATGGCTCAATCTCTCTGGACTGCCTTCTTCCCACAGGAATTTACATCAGCCTAGATGTCCCTCGAGATGCCACTATCTGTTATATCAAGCAGGTAAAAAAGGCATGCTATTAAAGTGTCTCTTTACATTCCTGGAAATGCTTTTTGCTTCTCATGCAACTTCACTATTTTGAATAATGTTTGGGACTATATAATTACATTTCATATTGGAAGCATGACCTATGGGCCTTTCTACAGGGCAAATGCCTGCGATTTTTTTTGTCTCTTGGGAATATCATCTCATTGATGTATGCATGGAAGTATGTGCATAACTTAGATTCTCTTGATTGCATAGACCATAGCAGAGAACAATAAAGTAAACTCTGTGTTTTATGGATTAGCAATTAAAGGGAAAGCGCAGAAAGAAGACCTCTTTTAGAAATTTCTAGTCGAACAAAAATAAGAACACAGACAAGTATACCTTTTATTTCTAACAAGTTTACTAGATCACTGTATAGAAGAGAGAACTAGCTTTCCTTTAAATCCAGTGTTCTTTAGTTTTAAAAGTCGTTTGATTTAAATTAGATGCATGACTGGCCACTTCTATCTGGAGGTTTGAGTCAACTGTATTTTATTTAAATGTGTTTGTTTATGCTGGAGTAAGGAATACTTGATGGTGGGGTAGGGGCAGATGCAGCTGAGAGAACTTTCCAGTGAGTGAGTTTTATGAACAGAATCTTCTACCGTTACGGTCTCTCTACTTGTTTGCAGCTATTATGGAAGCAAGCACATAGCTATCCTCTATTTCATCTTCTTTTGGAGAGCGACTCCTATATGTTTTCCTGTGTGAACCAAACAGCTGTACGTGAAGAACTGGAGGATGAGACACGAAGACTTTGTGATGTTAGACCATTTCTTCCTGTCTTTCAACTTATTACAAGAAGTTGTGACCCGGGGGAAAAGTTTGACTCCAAAATAGGTGTACTTATAGGAAAAGGTAAATTTCAATGTTCTTGGGTTTTGGTGTGGAAGAGATGGCACTTAAAGCACATATATTTGAACAGCAAAAAGCAAAAGAAAACAAAGCAACAAAATATTGATGTAGTTTCATATTTTTAGGAAATCTATAACCTCAGTAATCATGCTTGCAGAAAACCATGCTGTGTTTCACTTAGTCCAGTGGTTTCCAGCAGCTGGAGACCTGCGAAAACAGGAAAACCACCTCAGGGACTGCTGAAGCAGAAACAAAAAGTACCATACACATAATAGAGTATTATGTGTATCAGTTTCCAAAACAAAACCAAAAAAATGAAAATTGTCCAAAACCACCAGAAACCAAAAAACAAAAAATATCAACAAAAGAGCAAAATACCAAAACTGTCACAGCGTGGCTCCCAGCCAGCTCCCACCAAGCCATCTCTCCCCTCCCCAGGCTGTCCCCCAGTGGCACCAATGCACCTCCCATGAATGCAGTGCCAGCCGAGGAAGAGGTGGTGGAGCACAGCCAGCCCCTGCACTGGTCCACAGCAAGTGGGATGCAGCTCCACCACCCCCACAGACCAGCAGGAAATCTGCAGACTGGCACCGGTCCATGGACCAATGTTTGAAAACCACTGCATTAAAGGACTATAGCAGGAACATATTAAGATGGCATGACATTTTCCCCCACCAATTCCTCTGCAAGCAGGATTGTAGCAGCAGCCAGGTTCATCACCATTTTGTTGGCCTTTCCCAGTGCTACCTGAGTGAGCTGTTTCTTATGTCCATGAGGGATGGCAAGAGGCATGTCTCCATCATAGGCTATCCCTATCCCACAGATTGCAGATAACAGTGGAGATAGGAGCAAGAAAAGAGAGATTTAACTTCTAGGGACAGCAGATGGTGTGCAAAAGAAGCCATGGGTCACATCCAAGAAGGCCAGATTGAGAACCTCCATGGGACAGGTTATAGGCCTGAAGGCCAGAGGTTCTGAACCCCTGGACTATGCCAAACTTCTCTTTCTGCCAGAGGTTCAGTTTTTGGCTTGTTTTGATATACAAGATAAAAATTGGAGTTTCTAGGACCATTCACCCCTGATTTTATGCTGTAATCTTTCACAAGGTCAGAGACAATTTCTGCTCCTTTCCACTGATCACTGAAAACATGTAGTAGGGCCTTGTACAGTATGTATGGCCTACATACCCAGACTACCTAGGAACTTTGACCACATAACAAACACCCCTATCCTTCCAGTTTCCAAGTTCAAAAGTCTGACAAAGGCTTCGATTTTTCCCTGTGCTGCTGAAGCATTCCAGGGCTTTGACAATGTGGCTGCAAAATAATTCCAGTCTTTTTCCAAACCTTGGAGCTGGGGAGAAGGTGCGGAGATAACTGGAGAACTTCAGGCATGGTTCTCACTCCCTTCAGTAGCTGCAAGATAAAAGGAAGGCTGAAAGTCACACTAGGTATGATGAGTAAAAAATATGGAGCCCTGATTACTTTTCAACATAGCGATAAAAGATTGGCTTTTAAAATAAAGTTTTCATAAATATGTCATTACAGTTTGTTTTTTCTTCCAAATTTGTTTTGGAAATTATATTCTGCCCCCAGGTTCTACAGAACCTGTAGAAGGTTCTTTAAGGTTGTTTTCCATTAGAACATAGCATTAAAAAAGTCTTGGTGAAGCTCCACCAACTCCAGCTGTGGAATGTAGGGTCGAGGCCATACTGAGCCTCTGCTGTTACTTACCCTCTTTACAGAGGTTTGTAATTCCAGACACATGTGATGATGGGATGTCTGCTGTTTGCAGGGCATAATGCTTGCAACCACCGTATGTCCTCACAACCAGTTTCACCTGAGCTGTAGCATTACTTGATCCTTTGATGCATGAATGTTTGTTTTAACATGGAAAACGAGTCCCAAGTATAATCCTCTGCAGTTGTCATCAGTCGTGGAGATAGTGGCTGGCAAGGGAGCATCCTAGGCAAGTGATAAGAATTGCAAGGCTTGCAGCAATGAACTTAAGTAATAATATGGTTTATTACAACAACCAACAACAATACAACATGTGCAGTAATCTTTGGGAATTTTATTTAATGTTTATTTTTTCTTAATGCATGTTCTGTAATAGGCATAATTCTCCATGGATCTTACCATGAGCAGTCCAGTTTTTTGAAGATGCCAGGATCTGTATGTTAGCTCCTGCTAGATATTTAAAATATATTTTTAATTCTTAAATATGCATTATCCCCTTGCAGTTTTATACTTAAATGAAAAATAGTCACTATGTAGGCCCTGCTTCTCATCAAAACAATGGGCAGTTGTTGGTCTTCACACAAAAGCTTCAAGTTCTGTTTAGATTTCAACAGAAAACTGAACACTCACTTGTCTATACCAACAATGGCTTCTACTGATGCAAGCGGTTCTTTTTTAGATTTTTGCAACTGATTATTTCAAAAAGAATGACTGGGCAATTTCCCTTTTAAACAAAGCAAAGAGTCAGGTTCTTTGTACTTTTCAGGGTAGAGAAATGTTGTAGTTGGGTAGAAAAATCATGTGCTTGACTCACACTTTGTGCCATATCTCGTTCCATGAACATCAAAATATGAAGGCCTTACATAAATCCACCATTAGAACCAACATCAGTTCTTGTGGTCTCTGCGTATCACACATATGGGCCTGCATGGAGCCTGTTGGTGGGAGGATTCTACAGATAAGCATTACAAGGAAGGCAACCTAATTCTGGGACTGTGATTTGCAAAATTTCATCTCCTAAACTTCTTTAGCAAAGTACCGTTCCATGGAAGGTGGAAAATGCCAGTTTTGCAGGCGTCATATATTCCTAAGTAGACTTCACTTTTATGGAGTATGTGATAAAACATTGGATATTGAATATTAAAAACCTGGAATTAGTAACAATACTTTGAGATATATTTTTTGTTTTTAAAATACCTGTTATTTAATCATACCTTTTCAGGTCTCCATGAGTTTGATGCCCTACAAGATCCAGAAGTCAAGGAATTCCGGATTAAAATGCGGCGAATTAGTGAAGAGAAGATGCAGTCACTTGTGGGGCTATCTTGGATGGACTGGTTAAAGTACACTTACCCAGCAGAATTAGAACCATCAATTCAAGACAACCTCCAAGATAAACTTTATGGTGGCAATTTAGTTGTGGCCATTCATTTTGACAGCTGTCAGGTAGGTTATTGGCCATCCTTAGTAAATATTTGCACAACTATGTCAAATAATTTTAACTCTCAAATTGCAGTATCCACCTACTCCACACTTTTCTTCTTTCTAGTGGTTTGATTTCTTCTTTGGGTCCATGAGTGCTGTCTTTTATGCACACATACGTTCAATGCAGGGGTACAAAAACTGGGCCACATGCAGCCCCCCCCCAAGCCAATTGTGGAAGCCCTCTCCCCACAGCCCTTCCACAGCATCTGCCATACTATCAGTGAAAGATGAAAGGTAAGCAGGAGATTCAAGTACTAGTCCGAGCAGACACCAGCTCCCTTACACACACTGTGCTGCATAACAAGGTGCTTACTGGAATCAAGAGCAGTCTCAAGTGCTGTTTGTGATGTGGTATAGAGGTCTACAGTGGCTGGGGGAAAATACACGAGAAAGTTACATAAGAATGTATGGAACCAGTGGTGCAGCGAGAGCTGCATCTTAGGGCTGAGGTCCAGAGCACCACAACCAAGAGACCAGAAATTGATAGATGACTGGAGTGGTGTTGGGCAGGCTAGGTGTAAGCAGCTCAGCCACCCAGGGCTGCTATTGCTTGCTACAGCATTCCCTCCCCCACTCTTTTTTGTACATTGTTATCATCGCTTTGAAAAGCAAAGAACTCATTATACAGTAAGGGGCAGCCAGCTAGGCATGTATATAGCTACAAATATTTGTTTTATTGTCCTCTCCTTTTTGCACAAAAGCCTGGGAAACACCAAACAGTAGGGGCCAGGGGAATGCAATGAGGCCATTTGGGGAACACCAAGGGGGCTGGATCTGGCTCCTGGGCTTGAGATTCCCCTGCGCACGCGCACGCACACACACACAACGCTGGGTGAAAGAAACATGTTTTTTATCCAAATTACTCCACACACTGAAGGAATCCAAAGCACAGAATCCAAACATGACATTATTACATAGGGTGACCCTCATGTATCCATGTTTTGTTTAAAACTTTTTAAAATGTTTCTGGACTTTTATGCAAACAGATGTATCTCAGACGCAAAAACTTGATTTGTGCCTTTAAAGAAGAGAAGATCGGGTATTTCCTCTCAGGGCCTCAGTGTTTGGCAGAAACTTCAGGGGAAGGAGCTGTTTTGAGACAATTACATTTTGAAACTAAGAAAATATTGAATTGATTTTGACTGACTTCTTCATCACAGTTATGATTTTCCTTTGCAAGGTTTGGCCTGTTACCAGAAGACTGCTATATAAACAAGCTTCTAGACAAAAAATAATAATCATCATAAAATGGAATGAAAGCTAGGCCATGATTTACATTTGTCAATAATTGCTTTTGAATCGTTGCATTTTTCTGAAGTGTTTGAAAAATTAAAGCTCCATATGTGCTCTTACAAAAGTATTTCTACACAACAGTATAGAAACTGCTAGGAAGAGTTTCTATACAAACTGCAAAGAAAAGTATCTTGAATAGTTACATTTTAAATTGTAACATTTAATATGTATTTAAATGCATAGTAACACTTGTAAGGTTTGAGGTGCAAGAATGATCTGAAACATTTTTATTGAAATATGTTAGATGATGATGATTTACATATCCCAAGTAACATGGTATTTTAAATCTAGTGACTACACTAGCTTTTGGTTCTTCATTCATTGAGTTCAATTAGATTTGCTCTGGGTAATTGGATACAGAATTACACTGTTAGTCATAGTATATTCCAAACTCTCTTACGCCATTTGAAAGCAGTAGAAGTAATTCTCTGCAATATTACTTTTTGCTTCTCTTAATGTGGTTAACAGCATATGTAAATGAGTTGTATCTTTATTACATTATTTTGTAATAACAGGATTGTCCTTAGCAATATTATAGCCCATTATAGCTCTTGATATCGCAATCCAAAATGCTAAAGTAATAAGGCAGTCCCAAAGATAGGAAAGCAATCTGCATACACAGTGGGACATCACCAGTGGATGTCTCTTGTTGTATGATGTATTTGTGATAACCTATGTTGACCTGTATAATGATAACTTTTTAAATAAAGTGTTTATCAAATTTTCTTGACTTGACAAGCAAATCAATCACTTTTAATGTTTGACAGTAGTAACTATTACCTCTTCTTTTTAATAGGATGTATTCAGTTTTCAGGTATCTCCTAATATTAACCCTATCAAGTTAAATGAAATGGCAATTCGAAAACGTTTGACTATTCATGGAAAAGAAGATGAAGAAGTTGATCCCTATGAATATGTGCTTCAAGTTAGTGGAAGACTGGAATATATCTTTGGGGACCACCCATTAATACAGTTCCAGGTATCTCCTACCTTTTAAAGCTGCTTGGCTATCCAGGAGCTGTAACTTGGAAAAAAAACTCTTTAAAGTGGATACCAAAACAATGTCTCCCCAAAAAATTATAAATTAACTAATGTTTATACATTCAGATTTGCAGACTGCAAGAGGGTTTTTTAAAAATGTATTGAGGGACTTGTGCAGACACACCCTTGCACTGTTTGTACTTGCATGGATGCATAGTTGTGCTAGTGTGCATTTGAACAAATGGAACAAATTCCCATCCATCACATAAAAATGCAATTGTATCAGTGAGAAGATGATGGAGCAAAAGATGTAAAGATGCCTGACAGTTCACCGAAGGCAGATATAATGGATTTAACAAAAGCATAGACTCTAGCTCAGAGGGATTCTGTTCTTGAATTCTAAGGTATGTCTTTGGAACCAAGGTCTGGTTGGTGGATCTTAGGGTTCTAGTTTAAAAAAAAGGAGTATATAAACATAAGAAGAGTTTTACTGAATCAAATCAAAGACCTGTTCACGTACTTCATCCTGTTCATGTAGTAGTCAACTAGCTGATTTCGGGAAATGTACAGAGTATAAGCACAGCCATAACTCCCCTCTTATACATACTAAAGTCTTCCCATCGTTATACTATACCTATACTGTGGGCTTTAAGAATCCTAGGTGCCAAGTTGTCCAGAAATAATGATGTATTTAAGCTGCCTATTGCTTTTTAAAGTATATAGTATGCTCTTTTCTCTAGTTAAATTATTTCTTAAGGACGTGATGTTTCATTTTCAGCATGCAAATAACGCATTTTTATCTCTTCTTTTCTCAGTATATTCATCATTGTGTGTTGAACAGAGCTCTTCCTCAGCTGACTCTTGTTGAATGCAGCACCATAAAAAAAATGTGTGACCAAGAAATGGTTGCCACAGAAGCTGCCATAAATCGAAAGCAATTAAACCCGCCTCTTCCTCTACCCCCCAAGAAATTGCGTGTGAGTTCAAGGGAATGGGGTGCTTTAAATGATTCTGTTTAAGAGTATTTGCATCATATGTAGAAGGTACAAAGTGATTACCTAAAAGGCAACTTAAATTTGCTATGTCTTCTGATCAATGTTTGTTTCCTAAGCTACATAAATGCCATTCTTCACCAAAGGGAGAGACTAATTAAGGATTTATAGAGCAGCCCTTTGAATATGGGGAGAGCAGGAGGGAACAAAGTGGCAGATGAGTTGGCCAACATTTTTTTTCTGGAAACAGACCCATTGGGCTTGGTTATTTTGGAAGCTTCTTCCATTTGAAGCCACTGGAGGAAAAATTCACTACAGAAACTCCAGACTAAATTCATGGATCATCTTGGGTCTCTCAGAAAATGAAGGGGCTTTGAAACTGTAGATCAAAGGCCACCCTCACACACACCACAGAATGTTCTGCACCATGACTTATCATTGGAAGAAGACTTAGACCCACAGAACATCTGTAGGTAGAGCAGGGTGCTGCAAAGGACTCATGTGTCATACCTGTCCCATTAGAAATCCTGTCTGCATCCAAAATCTCTCCAGCTGACAGATCTGCAGATTAGGATGATACTCCTAGTAGACTATAAGATTTTTCAAACAGCATGATCTTGAAAATATACTCTTTTCAATGAACCTAAAAATCTCACAGTGCTGTTTCTTTTGTACCACAGGCAATTCAAAGTGTATGGGATATCAGTCACCCTTTCAAAGTTATTCTGGTAAATGGCAACAAGTTGAACACAGAAGAAACTGCCAAAGTAAGTATGATTAACTGTAAGAAATGGTTCCACTAGTCATGCTAAGCATTTTCCCACATTTTTTGCATGTCCCAACCCCATTTGATTTGGTTATTTAAAGAAGCACAAATTAGAATAATCACCTTGATTTCCTCTATGTACTTGTCCTTAATGCAGTTGATAATTTACTGGAATCTCTGGCTGAACCATAATTAAGAGCTTTTCAGTGGTGCTCTATTCCCCTTTAACATGTCAGTGTGAATGGAATTATTTCAGCATAAAGATGATATGTGAAATTCTTCTTATGGATTTGCAAATTTAACTGAAATGAAAAGTTATGAATAATTTATAATTTGAGATATCAGTACATGGTTTTTATAAATGTTTGATGCATTTTCAGCTTATAAATGACTTGATCCTTCTTCAGCATTATGTTATACAGTTGGTTTATAAAAGATGCTGAATATTGACAAAATTTAGACCTCAGTTTAAACATAGAAGGACTTGTTGCTCAGTTACATGTAGGCCTTATTAGGCATTTTGCCACTGTAACAGCTGCATGCATTTTCTTTACTTTGTTTGGCATACAATTAAGTCAATGAATAAACTTTCATTGCAGGGAAGACCAAAAAAAATGCATTGTTTCAGAGGGTTTACTGGCATTACATTAAAATTCAGTGACCTTAGAGATAAATCGCTTTGAACAAACATGAATTCATATTTCTGTATGTGGAAAATAACACAAAGATAGTAATTTCTAAGTAGAACTGATTTCTTGTCTTTAGATTGCCATGAAGCTATACTTAAGAAACATGTTTATTGTAAACCTGTTAACTGTTTGAATAGAATTATAGAAATATTAATCTAATCCTAAGAATGAGATGTGTCTAATGGTGTCATTCCATTAGAGCAAAGCTCTACTACTGTTTGAAGAAACGACATTTTCCTCCAGTACTTGTGTAATGGCTTCCCAAGCACTTCCATTGTTCATTAAAACTTCATAATACTTAACATTTCTTGTGCTAGTTGTTTCATTAGTACTTGTGTGACTGATAACAGTAATAAAACACCACATTGTGAACTTTTCTACTAGAATTGAATACAACCCAAAACAATTTTTTCCTGAAAAAAATAAACATAGATTCACACTATGATTCTAAAAAAGGGGTGGGTTGAAAAAGCTATAGACCCTCCTAGCAAGACGGGTAAGTGGTGTGATAATACATATGACAATTTCATATTTCCCAAATTCCAGGAATTAATATTGCATTGCAAGCCTGTATTTAAACTTCCCTCAGCATAATCCAGAAAAAGTTGTCATTAATAAGCCATTAAATTCAGAGGCACTTCATGTTAGTGCTAAGACCTACGCAGAATTCAGTCAGTCCTGGTTAAGGCTAATATTTTTGCTTGTGTTACTTTTTTCAAAAAATGGGTTTCAGAAAAAGTGCCAGCTATCATTCACAGAGTTCATTAGTATATTGAAAAGGGAAAAATCAAAAGCTATTTTCTTGATGGTAGCTTGAAAAACAGCATTTGTAGAATGTGTCAAAGTATCGTTCCTTTAGGTCGCTGTATATATTAGCAAGACACACTATTCTAAATGCATTCAAAACTAATTGCATGCATATTTATTTATTCTCCACATCAAATCCATTTTCCAGTTGTGATAAATTGCCTCCAAAGACTCAAAGGGCATCCTTAATCATCATCCCTGTTCCAGAAATACAAGGTGAAAGATGTGTATAATAAATCTGCTTTCTTACAGTGGAATTAGTTATGCTTCTTGTCAGCATCACCTCTCCTAATTGCCAAAGTTCATGACTAATCCTGAGCAGCAAAAATAATTACAAGTAGGTTTTCTTAGTGATGCACACAGATAGCTTAGATGTTTAGTGTAGTTAATATACCAGCACGTACTAGCATGAGAACACCAAATCTGTATTTTTCTTTCTTTTTTAAAGCAGGAAATGTTTCAAGATTAATAATCCTTATTATTATTTGTTAGATCTATGGAATGCACTTGGATACTTTCCTGTCATGTCTCTCTCACAGGTTCATGTCAGGGCTGGTCTCTTCCACGGAACTGAGCTCCTTTGTAAGCCTATCGTAAGCTCAGAAATATCTGGGAGAAATGACCATGTTTGGAATGAACCCTTGGAATTTGATATCAGCGTCTGCGATTTGCCAAGAATGGCTAGGCTGTGCTTTGTGGTTTATGCTGTGATGAAAAATAAAAAGTCAGGCAGGCCACTTAATCCACCCAAATACCAGACCATTAGGAAAGCCGGGAAAGTGGTAATGGATTTATTTAATTTCTTCTTTACATTTCTGCTCATTGTACTGGAAAGTCACTGTATGTTTTGCATACTTTCATTCCCATACATTTTTAAAAAATTCTGAACTCCAAACTGAAAGTCTGAACTGTACAAAATAAGTGTTGTATCTTCTAAAAAATTTTCAAGGACCCAGAACAGGGAAAAATACATCTAATTGCATGTGTGTGAGCCATCCAGCAGGTTTGGCAGATGAATAGGGTATACTATCCAACCCTATTTTGCTTTAATACATTTATTACTTTCCTCTTGTGAACATTCAGCTTCAACCCTAACTAGTTCAAGTTAGTCATGCCTAACTGTAAAAAAACACTTTTGTGTATATTTTATTTATTTATTTATTTATTTAAAACATTTCTATGCCGCCCCCATCGCAACAAAGCCTCGAGGCAGCTCACAACAGACATAAAAATACAATTAATAATTTAAAAACTGGTACCCTCTTGGCTATATATTAAAATCTATAAATACAATAATAATAAATTAACAGTTAAAATAACTTTTAAATAAAAAGGTCTTTGCCTGGCGCCGAAAAGCAAATAATGACGGTGCCAGGCGGACATCTCTGGGGAGCGCTTTCCATAGGTGGGGTACCACTGCAGAAAAGGCCCTCCTCCGGGTACTCACCTTCCTAATATCCTTCATGGAGGGTTCCCGGAGAAGGGCATCCGCTGCCAATCGTAGGGGGCAGGAGGGCATATATGGATGCAGACGTTCCTTTAGATAACCAGGTCCCAAGCTGTTAAGGGCTTTATAGGTCATAACCAACACCTTGAATTGGGCCCGGACTTCAGTAGGGAGCCAGTGAAGCTGACGGAGGACTGGGGTTATATTTCAATTTATTTTAATGCATGCATATGTCTCCTGCCCTCCAGGGGCTCTCCAGATACCATACATGCCTTTCCCTTTGTTCTCAGAGCAACCCTGTGAAATAACCTGAGAGTATGACTGACCCATGGTAGCTCTTATGCTACCCCAGCTCCCCACACTATACTGGCTTTCAGAATTTTTCTCTGTCAGTATCTTGGTGCCTTTTTAAATCTCTGTTATGCCACTGTGTGTGCATGCATATTATTTTACTATCTTCAGATTTTGAATGCATCTACAAACACTATGCTTTTTCACTGCAGCACTATCCTGTAGCATGGGTCAATACTATGGTGTTTGATTTTAAAGGACAGTTGAAAACGGGCGATTTCACACTGCACAGCTGGTCATCCTTTCCTGGTAAGATTTACCTTGTAATTTGTAAGTTTCTTCTTTCATTTTCCATGAAAACTACTTTGCAGTCTCCATTCATTTCAGGGGTTGGCCTGTTTGGGTCCCTCACAAAGCTCCTCTGAAGGGAATGAAAGTTGCATAGGGTTAGACTGCACTATACTTTTTGTCTGTTATGTAATCTGGTGTACTCTGAGCACATGAACAGATGAAAGTTTGCAATTAATGGTTGTGAATACATATATAATATGAAAAAAATATTAGTGGGAGCAACCTTCAGTTGACATGTTTCTACAAATGTTTCTACAAAGGGAAACATTTTCCCTATGGTGGCTGCTTCAGTGGGCCATGTAATACATTGCAACACTTTCTGTGTCATTGTCCCAGATCATGAAGCATCCTCCAAAAACCAAATTAGACTCAGGGACCCAAATTCCAAGATATCTGTCCAATCTAACACCACTCCTTCTTGGCTTTCAGTCAAATGGACAGATTCCATGAAATCTATGGTGATCCTCTTCAGATATTCCCTCCATGTGTGCACTTAAGATGTGGGAGAATGCCATGTGATGAACAGGGAGTGCCAGAAAGCACATTCCAGTTTCCTTCCATGCATTTAGTGTAAGCATGAAGGAATTTCTGAAAACAGTTCCTATAATGAGCATTTCACCACAGGAAGCTTCATTTCCTAGCAGCATTCTGCCACACATATGAAAAGAGACAGCAAGCTGAAAGTGTGCATTCACACAATGCAAGAGTGGTTTGGCATTCAGGTTTCATGTTACCAGGAGGGTTTTGTATTTTCTAGGAGATATTTGGGCAGTATATTATAATAAATGAAAATTCTACTGCACTAGCATAAGAGGAACATCACGCAGCAACAACAGTGTTAGCTGGTGATCCAGGATTCTCTGGGAAATCTGTTGTTCTAGCAAACATTATTGGAGTTGATCCAGAGGTCCTTATGTTAGTGCTGGTGTTTAAGTGGATACCTGGATTTTTCATACTAGTACTTAGTTCACATTCTTTCCTCATATTAAATCACTTGCAGTTCAATACAGAACCAAAACACCACCTTTATTTCACACTGGTTTGCTAAGCATTTTAAATTTCTCACCCCTCAAAACAAATTATCATACATTTCAAGCCCTGTATTTTTAACTGAATCATCTGGTTTGGCTTTGGACAAAACAGTATTTTCAACAAAATGAAGGCAGAATTTTGGTTTCATGCATAAAATAACTTGGATTTGAATAGACCTCTAGTAGCCATTGGGACAATCTGTAGGAAAACATTCAATGATTCCTATTTAAACTGTCTTTATTAATTCACTAGTTTGTGCTGACTGAATGTTTTTCCCTTTTTGGCAACTTCTGAGATCTCTTAAAATGAATTATTTTGTTCTGAAAGTGTAATATAACTGAATGTGTTTTCTGCTGAAAGTGTAATAAAACTGAATCTGTTTTCTGATGGTATTGCTAGGATTTATCATCATCTCTGAATTTGAATTGCTCACTTTCTTTTTAAAGAAAAAAATGGGCACAAAAGTTAAATCCCCACCCTTTTACCACAAATTGCTGGTAAAATTGTGCCAAACCACAGTATTGACCTGTGCTTATTACTTGGTTTCAAAGGGGAAAGTAATCCATGTGCCTGCCCATTCATTATTTCAAACCTCCCTAGTTCACAAGTCCACTAAATACCATAAACATTGTGCAAGTGTTATGGAACTGTAAGTGTGGAGGGAGCAGGGGCCTCTACCCCAGCCTTAGAGTCTGTAACTGTGATCAGCTAAAAGTTCTTACACCTTGCAGCTGGGAACCATGGTTGTATGGAGTTCCTGCTCTCTTCCAGGATTGTAACTGCATACAGCCAAACACAGATATAGATGCTCTTTAAGCCACCCAGTCAATATAAGAAGGTCAGGAGGAGTGGGGTCAACATGAGCATCCCCAAGTTCCCCACTCAAAGAATATGTCATAAAGTGTTTGCATAGGGTTTTCAGTCTCTTTCCATCTAAATAAGTATCCATCCAGTCTATGCATTTAATGATAGCTGCATTAACATGCTCATGATTGGTAATCATGAAGTTAGTTGGATCATGAAGCTAGTTACACATCCTGCATTTCTCATTGGGGTCTGCATTAGAGCTTGAAATCAAGCACAATGGGGGTAATCCTGGATAGAGTCCAATTAGTACTGTTGTCACTTCTATCACGGTATATCTGCTATATTCTATTATGAATTTTGTTGTATGAGACACACATACAGTTTGGACAGGGTAATTTATATCTTAAAGCATAATGCATTTGGTATTGGAGAAGATGAAGAGAAGAAGACAATGCAAAAAAAAAAAAATAATCTAGACATCACTTGAAGAGCAGGCTGGCCTCAGTCATGATATGACAAACATTTTGCATCAAGTATTTCTGTTTGTTTGAGAGTGGGGTGATGGATGGATGGAGTATGCAAACACACACACATGAGACAAAGACAGAATGCTGAGCAAGCTCATTTAATTATGATAGAATTGATAGAATTGTGCTGTATCATATTGTCTAAATGGATTTTTTGGTACCAGTTCCTTCTCCGTGGTGACTAACACAGACAGGAATTAGTATCAACACAAGACAAAGCAACTACTCTTGCATAGAGCAAATCTCCATTCAAAATAGAAATATACCAGACCTACTAATTCAGCTTGTTCAGAGCCATGCATCTTTCACATAACTTCTTAATTAGAGTTATACAGAAGATTAGGTGGGATGTATTTATGTAGAACTTCTGCTATGGTGTTCTGCTTGGTACCCTTGGAGATACTGCTGTTCATTCGGCCTAACCACGTTTATAGCATACATTAAACATGGAAAACATAGCAAGAGGAGTCCTGAATTTTATATAAGCTGGCAATTGAATGGCCTTAAATATTAACACAATATTTATATTCTGGTTATCTAGATGAACTTGAAGAAATGTTGAATCCAATGGGAACAGTACAAACCAATCCTTACACTGAAAATGCAACAGCACTGCAGATAAGATTTCAAGAGTATTCAAAAATGCCTATTTATTACCCTCCCTTTGATAAGGTAAAATAGCATTTACTTGTTCTCCATGTTTTCTTCTGAATCCACCCGATCTAACTTCACAAATGAACTTATTAATTTCTTGTAAAATTTTGACAGTTGTAATAGATAAATGCCACTTAAATATCCACAGAATGTCAACTGGATTTGGAAAACAGTTTGGAGTGTTCATCTCTTTCTGTCTCCTATTCTACATGCATATGCTTGGATCCAGAGATGTGTTTCAGAAGTGGAAAAGCACTTCTGTCTTTGAAAGGAAGCTCCACCAGTGTTGGCTTTTGTTGTGTTGTGCTGTACTGTGTTTTCCTTGTGCTGCTGCTACAAGTGCCCTATTGAGCCCCATTCCAGAAAGTTTCTTGGCCTTCAGGAGTAGCTTTTGATGATGTGTAGGTGGCTGTAGTAGTGAGAAGGAGCAGTTTTGCTTGAATATTTCTGGGTCAAACTCCTTAATGTGTATATTTTAAAGTGTCATACCAATGTATTCAGTCATCTTCTTGAGTGAGAGGGGGGACCTCAAAAGTGCACTAAAAAGGTTCATTTGGTCCAGCATATTTCAGGAATTGCTGAGACTTTCCTTTAGGGGCACCTGGTTGAAGAGAATAGTTAGAATTGAAAGAGCAAGAGGCATAATATTTGGAATGTGTTTGGACAAATAAGACTCTTGTAGTACAGTTTAGCAATCCCTTTATTTTTATGTTAATGTTCTCCCCTATATTATTCCTTTGTGTAATGTGGATCAGAAATGATACATGCCTTGTAGCTGCTGATTGGGAAGCCTCTGTTTAAGTGTCCTGTTATCAGAGTCTGCTTATGCCAGGCTTCATTTAAACACCTCTTTGTTAGCTATAAACTGAAGACAGATTGATTGTGGGGGAGAGGGTCACACAGTATGACATTACGGGGTCATGAAGTGGCTCCCATTAATTCCATTAAATTCCACCCCCTTTAAATGATACAGTGTCCCAGCCTACTTGTTTTCAAGACAGTACTCGAAGTGTCTCTTGTATGGAGGCCTTTTATGTGCACCTGCCTGCATGGTACATCTTCCACTACCATGCTGGTGGGCATGTCATGGGGCAGAGGACATTTCTAGCCAGGATCTATCTGTCTTGTGTGTTTTCAGTGTGTAATGGGGTTCACGTGTGCCCCTTTACTGATTTACTCTAAAGCGGGGCTCGACTCCTTCTAGTTGGTTTAGATTACTCACATCAGACAGCATAGTGAACAGTTGGGGATTATGGAAGTTATGCTCCAAAACATACGGAGGGCTCCTGGTAAAGCATAGTGAAAGTAGTTCGAATGTCTACTTGTTTTCAAGACAGAGGATTCTTGTTCAAATAATTTCTAGCATTCTTAGAGTAAAAAAGACAGAGATTTTAAGTTCCCTGTTGAACAGCCTTCCCCAATCTGGTTCTTTTCAAATGTTTTGGACTAAAACTCCCATCATCTCTATCCATTGTCCATTTTGGTAGGAGCTGTAGTCCAAAACATATGGATGCCACAGATTGATTCTGGTTTGAGAACTAGATAAGAAATTCCACCCAGATTAGAGACCAGTGTGGAATTTGGGCTAAGATGACACCCATGTTCATTTTATTTGTGTCACTCATGGCAAGGCAAGTCTGTTAAGGACATTAAATTCATGAAGGATTTTAGATTAAGGATATATAACTGTAAAATGATAGAGAAATGTGTTTCCCTGGTTAAAGACGAACATACAAATCTGGCATTTTCAGGAAATATGCTGCTTTATATTCTAGATTCTTTGGGGCTAATTATTTTAGTATTTCTGGCTGTTTGCTGCTGTTCTGTTAGAAGAATGCTATATTTTCAAAAGGTCTGTCTGGTCCATGTTTAATTATGCATTCTGTTTATATAGTTGTGAGACATAAATATAGTGGCATAATGTATAAATGTACATTGTACTTTGCAAAGGGGGGATGGAACATGTTACATTTTGCATTTGTTTTTGTTTGCTTGTCTTGCATGAGTTTTCTAAGAGCAGAGATGATACATTGATCCTAGTTCATGATCTTTAATCCAGTACCATCTATGTCAGATTTCCAGTATTTCTTTACCACTTTCACAGATACTTGAAAAAGCAGCTGAAATTGCAAGAAACAGTGAATGTTCTGCTATGGCAGTAAGTATCAAAGGTGAAACAATGCTCTTTTCCCATTTAAAAGCTGGGGGAAAACATTTATTTTCTCCTGTTATTGTTGTTTGTGTAATGCTAGGCACTTGCATTAGGCAATCATCTATTTAAATCTTAACATAATTATTCTGTCTTTTCAAATTATATTTCATTTAGAAAGCGTAAACAAAACCCTTTCACTTGCCCTGCCTCACTGTCTCCTCTTGCATTCCACTGAATATTATAAAGGACTGCTTACACTTTGGCAATAGTTTAAAAATGGGTGGAACAGAGTGATGCTGTGGATTTCAGCATCAGCTAGAGGGCCATAGGATAATTTGGATTTCCAGGTTCAAGGTCAGAAAAGATGCAGTCATCGGAGCTGGGAATTCACATTCAGATCTTTCACATACACACACACACAGCACAGAAAGAACCGTTTTCATTCTGCAGTGCTCAGCAGCTTTTCTAAGGCTGAATGAGCAACCTCACAGATGGAATTTAGGGGGCAGGAGCGACCAGTGCCAGTGCCACCAAGATATAACATATTCTGGCAGCATTGCCATTGCAGAGCCCTTCTCTCCCCCTCCAAAGTGTCACAGTTAGATGGCCAGAATAAACTATCTAGCTGCTTTGCAGGGTGGGAGAATTCTGCAGGTCACCTTTGCTTCCCTGCTTCTCCCACCTTGCATAGGAACCTGATAATCCTCCATATCTGGAGAGCTACAGGCAACCTCAAAGGATTTCAGCCAAAACTAGGAATCACAAATGTGAGTAGTGTGACTATAATCTCCTATAACTGTAAAGTTTAAAAATAATGAAGGCTGGGAGGGCATAGAATTTTTTGGATTCACCATCTATGGGTGGAGACAGAGGATGGAGGTCCATCAAACAGGGAGACCCAACTTCAGATCCTCCCTCCCAGGCCCTGCAGAAACCATCTCACCTCTCTGAATACATTCTAAGACTAGGTTTTGACTTCATACACTGATGTTCCTTTTCATAATCTGCTTCATTATTTTCTTTTAAATTATTCACATCTTAATTTAAATCAACATTGTGCACAAAGTAAATACCAGTCTTCATCCTGGCTAAGAAGAAATGTTACTTAGATTAAACAGAAAATAACAATATTGCCCTCTAGTGGAGTTCATTGTGAAGTTCAGGATTAACACTCATGAAGAGTGTGGAGCTTGTAAAAATACATGTAATTTAAAATATGTAGGAATGAATTCACCCTGTTCTATCCTTCTGTATTTTGGACATGCAGTATATGAATAGGACAAAATTGCCTAAATGCACCTGTGCAATTTGCAAATGACAATTCTTGACCTTATAACAACTGTTGTCTTTTTAGGGCCGCGGTGGCAAAAAGTTCCACATTGAGTTAAAGGAGATAATGGAACGGGACCCCTTATCTCAACTGTGTGAAAATGAGATGGATCTAATTTGGACTTTACGGTATGACTGTCGTGAAAATTTTCCACAATCACTGCCAAAGTTGTTGCTCTCGATAAAATGGAACAAGCTTGAAGATGTTGCTCAGGTGAGGCCAGTAGAAAGATCTTTGTAGCAATAGTAATATCAGGCCTATAATAGGAGCAATTTTGTTTGTGTAAGAACATGGCAGGTTATGATTTATTTGGTACAGCTGTTTTTCAGACAAACCACCACTGAATACATCTTCTTTTTCCATGGTGGTGGTGTTTCTTGTTTGAATTTTATTCTGCCTTTCCACTAATGGTGGAATGTTGCCAAAGGCAGCTGATAATAATATAACCAAGTTTAAAAGAACAGCATCAAATAATTTAAACACAATTTAAAACTCAACAATAAGAGAAAGAACTCAACCCCATACGCCCCCGCCCCTGCCTCCCACTTCAGCAGCAAACCAACATAAAGTCCAGTCCTATCCATGTTTACTTTGAAGTAAGTCTGACTGAGTTCTGGGAGCATGCATGGAGTTGTAACCAAATTGACATTATGTTGGAGGCTTTTCCATCAAACCTTCTATGGAAAAACATGCAGAATTAAGTCAAGATTGTTGCTGTTTGGAAGGCTGGCCTTCCAAACTGTAAAAGTAAGCATACCAAATAAAATATTTCTATATTTTTGGGGTATTACCTAATGCTTTAAACACTCTGTGGACTTGTGGTTATATATAAGAGGCACAAACCTTAATCATTCTAGCAAATTAATATCCAACCAGAAAACCACATGCTTATGGAAATGTACCTCCTTTCAGTTTGTTTCTGTTCTTATCACACTGAAGAATGCTGAGTACCAATTGCAAGTCCCTGCATTTTAGACCAGATGCAACCTTCTGTCGTAGTGCAGTGAATGTGGACTCTCCTGTGGTTTGTACTAGGGTATAACTGCAGCAGGAAGGTCTTCTTGAAATTCCCTCCACCCTTTTTGTTGTGACTAGAAGATAATGCACAACAACTTTCAGCATAGTGCACTGAGAAGATGTGAAGAGTAGTTAGTTCATTAATTTGCTTACATTCTTTCCGTTAATAAAGAAAAGGGCTCCTGAACTCTATACTATCTCTCTCAGTTTAAGTATCTTCTCTGCTTACCATGGATTTAAAAGTGCTGAGAATCATTGCCTTGGATTGCGCTGCAGACTTAGTATTGTTGTTTTGGTTTAACAAAGGAAAGCTTTCTGCCCAGATGTGACAAGTCCCCTCATTGGCCTCTGACCATCACATTTAGATCAGTCGGTACCCACCTGGGATGTTGATCTAGCTGGTCAGCATTTCCCTCCTAATTCAAGCTCAGAGGAGGAATGTAAACAAGAATTGGCTGTATTTTTGGAATCTTCTTGGCTCCTTCTCAGGTCATTGAGCTCTGGTTTCCTCTAAGGGTCATATCACTTAACATTTTCTAGTTGAATAACCTCTGCCTCTAATTTTAAGATTTTTGAAGTGGGTGTAGTCCTAGTGGCAACAAGACAATATTTTATATGCAGCATACAATTGGATATGTATCTAGCATATTTTCAACTATTGGGAAATACAGTAATGCCATAAATATTCTGTCAAAGGTTATTATTACAATCTGTTATATCCAAGTTTTCTTGCAAGATCAGCATGCAGTTTGGTCTTTCCAGTGCTCAGCTCCTAGTGTAGTTTATTCATTTGTTGCTTCAGCGATGCACAGCACCTGGGCCGATTTATTCACATGTTGCTTCTGTAAATCATGACTGTAGCAGTGGCAATATTTCCACTGTAATCTATACGCCTATATGTAGCAACAGTTGTTTCCTATGCTTCTTACAGTGCTAGGCACAGTGTTTCCTTTACAATGCTATTTTCAACAGAGAAATAAGACACTTGAAGCCAGAAACACAGTCTCAAATCCAGGGTACAATAAGCTGAGGTTCAAAGAGACATAAAACCCAAGTTGCAGCAGATTGCTTCCATGGAGAAAACCCATGCTTATGTATTCTCTGTGGGACAGCCATACCTACCAACAAAGTGAATATTGGTTCAAGTATCACTCTTCTCCCTTACTGCCTGCTTTTTAAGAAAAAATAAGTGGCGCACAAACATGCACGTATTCATTTCCCTTTTTTTTCTTGCAAAGCAGAATCAAGTTTACAAGCATTGTAAAACTGATCTGAAGATGCCAGTGAGGTAGGAATGCCAGATAAATCTTAAACAGATTAAAAGGATATCAGATTTCTGTGAAACTGACCTGCAGATTCCATACTGGACCAGCTTTTTCCAAGTTCAGTGGATTTGGTGCATTCATGACTTTGTGGGAATTTTCACATTTGTGAAAAAAAAATCTTATACACAGTCTCTGATTCCCTCAGTGAGTGGTTGATGGAAGAAAGATTCCTAACAATCCATGAAAGGATTTAACAAAATCCATACACCCGTACTTTGTACTCACAGGCACCAGTCAATCAGCACTATGCACATGAGCCTTCTGGTAAAATGGAACCCTTGCAACCTGGTAAAATAAATGCTTACTTTGAACATGTGCAGGTGTGCATTCAGAGTGGCCCAGCTGCTCAAATAATGTTTTAGTCCTGCAGTTTCATCTGGATTCTAGTTCCTTTGCTTCAGGAGCAGTATCTTTGCTGCTCTCCCATGGCTCCATAGTCTCCCCAGTAATGTTGGAGTGGGAGAGATCTCATGGGAGGAAGTTAATGACATGGTTATGCCTGAAGCCAGTGCCAGAGTTTGTCAGGCCATGGGAAAATGGAGTCTGCTTTGTTCCAGTAGCCCTGCAGCCTTTTGCTGTACAAAACATGATATGACATAATCTTTCTGTTGCTATTGAAATCGCAACACATCCAGGAAGGAAAACATGCTTCATACACAGAACTCTGGGGGTGGAGGGGAGCCACAGTAAATTACCCTGAAGTAAGTAGCTAACCTAACCCTTTTCCATAGGTGTTTACAAAGACAGAATATGCTTCATGTTTGACCTTCCCATAAACATTTGCTAGTCTGTGCCAAATTAATTGCCAAGGTTTCTAGAATCTGTAATTCTGCAGGGCTGAACAAAGTTGTCCGTGACCGGAAGTCATATGGGCAGTTCAGATAGCTGCCTTAACAATTCTGTCCTTCCGGTATCATTACAGCTCTCTTAGAAAGATGCCCTCACTGCTACCTCATCTGTCATGGCTCGCCTTGAATACTTCTCACTACCTTCTCATCCATTATTTCAGTCATTAGTTGTATTCAAGCCAGTAAACTTGCTTTCCTCTGCCCTCTGGTAGGACACCATGCTGCTACAGCTAGTGGGGTAATGAAGGGTTTTTTTCAGACATATATTTCTTCACTAGTACAAGCAAGGAAAACAACTATGTCATCTTCAGTTAATAGGAAGTAGAAAAGCTAGAAACAAATAGAATAGTTTGTGCCATTTTTCTCCTTCTTAGTTTCAGCTATACTGGAAGCTGACAAATACAGTACCAAAGCAGCAACCTATACTGGACAAATTTCCCCTTCCTTTCCATGGGAAAGATTAAAATGCCCACAAATATTCTCAGATACTTCATATGTTTGGTCACTGAGTTTGTACGTGCATTTATTTTTTCTAAACAGCTTCAAGCTCTTCTTCAGATATGGTCCAAACTGCCTCCCAGAGAAGCATTAGAGTTACTGGATTTCAATTATCCTGATCAGTATGTAAGAGAATATGCAGTGGGCTGTTTAAGGCAAATGAGGTGAGTCTTGTGGTAACTTTGTTCCAGTCACTAGCTCAAAAGTTAAAATACAACAACACCCTATGACTTTTACCCTAAGTGAAATAAATCTTCCAAATCAGGAAATGGACTGCCTCTCTAATGTCCAGCTGTGAACCAAGCTACAATCACATTTTACCATTGGAACGGGGGTGGGAGCTCAGAGTGGGTGGTCCTCCCTTTGGGAAGCAGTATCTCATCAAGAAAGAAGATGTCTTCCTTTGCTATGTGGGCTTCACTGTTGGAATGGTGAGTGTAGGAGGCATTAAAAAGATCTCAGGTTTCAAAGCAGATGCCTAGAATCTGGTGTCTGCCACTGAGTTTACAATCCTTTGCAAACCTATCTGGGAATAAGACCCATTAACCACAGTAGGAGTTAATGCTGAGTAAACGTAGCACTGGGTATATCCAATCTGATAGCGTATGTTGAATTCTGAGTGTCTTCAAGTACCTCCCCACCCCCCGCCCCAATCCCTAATTCTCTGGTTTTCTGAGCTTCAATTTATGAATGTAATGCCATTTGGCTATCACCCATTGCTATGTTAGCCATGTCCTTGACTTCTCAAGAATATTACAAGTGATTGATAGGAGACTTTATTGTTTTTTTCAAGGCTAGATTATTAACAAAATATTTTTACTTCCCAAAAATGTAAACAAGATGGTTATCTCTGCTCATCCTGGACTAGCCTTGTAATACTGAAGTAGTACTTCTAGTAGGACTTTTTCCATTGATGAAATCTAGATGTATGCTTTTTCAAGTCTGCCTGAGTAGTTCAAGGTCTAAATAAATGTATTAAATCTTTTTGCTTTCAGGGGAGAAAATTTGAGTTTGCATGCCACATGTTAATTTTTATAGTACTCTTGAGCTGAAAAATCCCTTAAATCAGGTGTGGACAACCCCAAGGCCGTGCAAGGGTGCAGAATTTAAAAAATCCCATTCCTCCACAAGTTACAATGACACCTAAAAAGACTCAAGCTCATTGTTGAACTAAATATGTCCCCTTTAAGCCTCCATCACATTTTGTCAATAAAATTTGGCAGCAAAACTGCCATTCTGCCACTATCCTACTGAATTTTAGCAGTGTCAGGGGACATAGGCTCTGTGTTGCCCACTTTGCCTTGAGTAATGGTCACTATTAATTAATTAATTAATTAATTAATTAAAACATTTCTATGCCGCCTCTTGCCGAAGCCTCGGGGCGGCTTACAACACAATAAAATACAATAAAATACAAAAATAACAATATAAAATTAACAATATAAAATAAATAACAATGTAAAAGAAACTATGTAGTTGCTCTGCAGAGCCTGCCTTATCACCAACAGTAATTTCTTTTTTGTTGTTTTTAACAGATGAAGAAACAAATAGGAAGGGGGGAGGTTGGATGTAATCATTATTTGCCATTTCCACTTCAACGCAAACAGTTGAAACTTTGCATTGTCTTATAGAAGTGATGAAGTGCAGGGAAGCTGGAAGGCAGAATTACTAAGGCTGCCTTGTTATCCTCAAGTCAAATCCATATGACTGCTATCAAATATTTTCTGAGCTTCTAGCTGATATATTGGCAGATATGTGTGCAGATTTTCAATCTCTACAGAATTTTTCATCAAACAAAGATCTTGAAAGCTTGCTTATTTTGGTTACCTTTTAAATTGACTTTGTAAAGGTATTTTAGTAATATGTGTCCGAAGGCATATTCATACTCTGTTTGACTTCCATGCTCTAATAAATGAAGAACTTGTCTAATTGGATGCATTTCAAACTGCACATTTTCCTCCCTTTCATTTAATGCATTTTCTTATGATTAAGCTAGTTTACCCAAATTCTCTTTATCTTCTTTCAGTGATGAAGAGCTTGCTCAGTATCTTCTGCAGCTTGTGCAGGTACTGAAATATGAACCTTTTCTCGACTGTGCCCTCTCCAGGTTCCTGCTAGAGAAAGCATTGGCAAATAGGAGGATAGGACAGATGCTGTTTTGGCATTTGAGGTAAGGCTTTCTAATATTATACTGAAGTAAGACTTGCTAATATATCACCACATCAGAAATGTCATGTGTTATACAAAACTTCTTGTGGTGAAGAACTGAGTTGGGTTCCCATTAGTTTAGTCCAGTCTTCCTCAACCTGGTGTGATTCAGATGGTCTAAGCTGCAACATCTATCATACCCAGTTGCCATGCTGGCTGGGGCTAATGGGACTTGTATTCCAACACATCTGGAGGGCACCAGGTTGGGAAGAGCTGACTACTTCCACCTGTACCTTATTATACCTGGGTAGGCAACTTGGTGCCTTTCAGTTATTTTAGATTATAGTTTCCATCAGCTACAGCCAACATGGTCAAAGTCGAGAGATTTGGGGAGTTCTAATCCACAATGCAAGGTAGACATCACTTCCTTGAACCGCTCAATTTCACTTAGGCAGCATTCCTCAAAATGAGAAGCATATGCTCTTAGACTGTACCTACTCTCCCTCCTTCTGAGGGCCCCCAGAGTGCAGAAGCAAATGCTTTTTGTTCCCTATTCCCAGCTACTGTTCACACTTGTAGCCTGAATCCAGCCTCTGCACCGCAGCTTGGGATCAATACCCACGTATTGATCCCATGATGGAAGGCCATTCTAGTTTCCCCTTGTGGCAAACCAGCCTATTGCATCCTGCAGGGGCAGGCAACAGCCAACCAAGTGTCCTGGATCTTCTCCTTTCCCACAGGTTTTCATGAAGGCACACATCAGGTGACCCTTAGTCTGCTCCTCTTCCTCCTCAGTCACAAGGAAGGAAGAAGACTGCAGTTTTCCTATGAAAATTGTGTGTGCATTGCTTCTTGCCCTCTGAGGACAACTCCACTAATGGTTTGGCCTCCCTGGTATTTCCAGGAAACATAGGCCCAGGGGAGATAGTGGAGAACTGTCATATTAGGTATACTAGAGATAAGCAAAAAGCATCTTTCAGATGTTTTAGGCTTCATCTCCCAGTATTCCTGACAATTAGCCATGCTGGGAAGAGTTTTTGGGAACTTATGTCAAAACTTCAAGATATTTATCTTATGCCTACTCTTGGCACACATTTTCAAATAAATATTTTCCCTAAGTGTCCAGTGAGAACAGTGGAGAAGTTCAGCTGTAGGTATCAAAAGGTGAATGAGATCTTGTCAGGCTTGTCCTCCATACTTTGAAATGCTCCAGTTTATTGCATCCTAAATGCCTATTCAAGCTGCAGTGAATTGGAGCCTCTCAGTTTGGAGGACAAGCCAGCCATTGCCTTCCATTCACCTTTTGATGCCCAGAGCTGCAGTTCCAAGGGTCATGCTTCCAGGTTCCTTGGCACTTTGGTCAATAGTGTAGAAGTTTGTCTCCTGTTTCTGCTGCTCTTCATGTAGTTAGTTGTATGGAGGCAGAGGAAACTTCTTCTCTGCTTTGGTGGAACTTTGCTCAAGCTGGCTTTTGTGCTGCCTTCAAGAAGAATAGAAACTCATAAGTAGGGATAATTACCTTTTTATTCATTTTTTTCACTATTTTTGGATGAAGAGATCACTAGATTAATGTCTATTAATCCTATCTTGTTCCTTTTTAGAGGGTGGATGATTTGAGACAGAGTGTTTAACTTGGAGACTGGGTTCAACAACTATTTGCAAAGGGATAGTGGAACAATTATGCTATCTCATATGAAAGAGTGCATACAAACTCGACTTTGCGTTTGTTGTTTGTAAAGCAATGATGATGTGACTTGATATTTATTTATTTAAAACTTTTCTATACTGTCCCATACTTAAAAAGTCTTGGGATGCTTTACAGCAGATTGGTCAAAAAACAATACAAAAACAAGAATAGCAACAACGTTATATCATACAGTTATATACAGTTGCTAGTTATGTCTATCATACAATTCCTTAAATGCAACATTGGACCAAGGGATATAAAAATCTCTCTATGTGCAAATATGTTTTCCTTGTAGGTCAGAAGTGCACATACCTGCAATTTCAGTGCAGTTTGGTGTGATACTCGAAGCATACTGCCGTGGAAGCATTGCTCACATGAAAGTACTTTACAGACAGGTATTTCTTATTTTAAAACTCTTACCTTTAGGTTACTAATGTAATGCAGTTGCTTAGGAAAACTACATGATGCACAACCCTTTTCACAAAGACAGGGCCCTTCTGTGAACTTGATGAACAGGATGACAATTAGTATAGCATGGTGTGCATTCATATTGCTGAGGCACATTATGAGCAGTGTGTCATGGGTCCAAGTCATATGCTTATATTGTTCACACCTCCACTCCAGGAGTGCCAAATAATGCCATACAGGAAGTGCTGTATGTAGTGGGAGAGTAGAGATAATCTCCATGTAGAAAAAATATATAAATGGTCCATATATAAATTGTGGCATATGTGCATGATCTCTGAAGCCATTCTAGGTGCCTCTGTTACAAGCTGACAAGCAAGCCAAGGAATGAATGACATAAAGGAAACAATCTAGTATGGCAGCTACTTAATTTGCAACAAATAGCACTTCTCTGGAGAAGAGAGACTAACATATACTGTATTCATTCTAAAAGTTTCTTCTGAACATCTTGTGTCTTTGCTAAAGAAAATTCAAAGTTTATCAAACTTTAGAGCCAGTGTGGTGTAGTGGTTAAGAGCCTGGGACTGGGACTCAGGCGACCTGGGTTCTAGTCCCCGCTCAGCCATGGAGCCAACTGGGTGACTCTGGGCCAGTCGCAGACTCAGCCCAACCTACCTCACAGGGTGGTTGTTGTGGGGATAAGATGGAGGAGGAGAATGATGTAAGCTGCCTTGAGCCCTTTGTAGGAAAAAGGCAGGATATAAATTGGAAAATAAATAAACAAACAAACTGCTGAAATGCTCTTAATTGGTTTAGCACTCCAAACACTGCAGATTTGCTGTAATTCAAATATGAAGCCCCTGCACAAACCTACTGCTTATTATTATGTGCTCCTTTAAAATCTTTGTATTGTTCCTTCCATTCCAAAAACAATCATATTCCTAAATATGTGGCTCCCAGCATATTAAAATCAAGGTCCCAGATAGAGACACATTGACTGGAGAGAATTTTATGATGACTTTATTAATATATGGTCAAATTCATTCTTAGACAAGCTAAATGAGGTAATGGAAAAACAAATATTTCCTAAAATGACTGAAGGAGTGAATATAATAAAAATTCCAAAACAAGGTAAGGGCCTACAGAAGCCAGAATCAAATAGACCAATAGCCCTCTTAAAATCAGGATGCTACCATATTAACAAATATTTTGATAATTCAGCTTATAAGGATATATATAGCTAAGGATGAAACAGAATGTATAAATGACTGTAAATCATCAGGAAATATTAGGAAAGCAATCAATATAAATTGTCCTACAAGAATATTAAAATCTAGATTATTTCTTGAGCTTGAAAAGGCTTTGGATCACTTAGAATGGAAATATTTATAGCCTTGATAAGCTTTGAATGGGCTGCAGTTTTATCAGCTCTTATTTACTTTGTTAAAAATGTACTTTTGGCTTATCTTTTCTGTTTGGGGAAAACTATGAAGAAAAATACAATGATAATGAAGTTGTAATCAAAGCTCTTAAAGTCATTAAATACACAGACCTTTAGAATAGCCTTCACTTCGCATCACTTAGCTTCACTTGAAGCAAACTGAACAGAAAGGGTAATGGAGTTCCATAGTCAAGGTGCCACTACTGAGGATGTTTTCTCTTGGGTGAACATGCACCTCACCTCAAAAGTTCATGCTAGGCAGGTAGGGCTTCCATGGATTATCTCAGCAACCAGGAATGTTGATATAGGAATAGGTGACTTTTTACAAGATTAAAACAAGGATTTAGAGTTGGGCCTTAAAACAAACTGGTAACCAGGGCAGATCTTCAAGAATTGGTGAAATGGAGCATCTAAGATGGATCCTATTTTAAAACATATTACATGTTTTAATATGTAATTAAACTTATTACATATAAGTTCAGTCACTTTGGAAGTCCATGTTGACTTCATCATTGGGTGTGATGCTTAGACAAACCTAGAACCTCTGTGAATCCCTGCCTGCAGTACAAGTAAGCCAAAGCCTTGATGAAATCAGTTGTAAAATGCTGGAATTGATTTGAAAGAAGGGGCAAAACAGCAGTCTCCAAATTGTTGGTCATTCCTATTTAATAGCTGTAATGGAATCTGTGCTGTAAAAGAAACTTACTTTGCTTCAGGATGCTGAAAAGATTAATTTTCTTACAATGTACTTTCTGATATTGAGTGAGCACAAAAAAAGAAATGAATATCTTAAAATGTATTTCAGCAACAGGCTTTAAGGACTGTGACATTTTCTGCGCACTTCAGAGGAAGTGCATGTCAATGCAATCAAACAAGAATGGAAAAATTCCCAACTGTGCAAACACGGAAGAAATTCAAACTAGAAATACTTCAAAAAGTTCCTGTTTGTCCAGCATAGGTTGCATTTTGTCCCTTGTTACTGATGTTTGCACAGCTCCTGGAATTGTGGAAACGCGAAGAGCTTTTGGTTTTGACAGATGGCTGACCTGACAGGTCTCTCTGGCCTCTTTTCCATAATCAAACTCCATACAGCTTCCTCAGCATCCTGCCTGGCATGAGTCAGCTCATCTGTAAGAAAGTATGAGCCTTTAAACTATGCTTATTACATTAAGGTATTTTTATAACACAGAAACAGCTGTAAGTAAGAATGTGAAAACACATTACTCAACAACATTTAGTCTTCAAACTTATTAATCCTGTTGGATAAAACTTTGCATTCCAGGCATAGAGAGAGCCTATGATAGTCCCCAGTCACAAATTTAGGATGCAATACTATGCCTGGTTAATGTAAAAAACTGGCATAGTTGCACCCTTAGTTTGTATAATATTGTAAGATAATCAACATACTTTTCAGCATTTGCCCTTAATGATTTCTAAGTTTATTCCAGCTGCTCCAGCATTCTTCCTCCTACAAATCCAGTAATAAGATGATGGTAGTATAACTGAATCATGAGAAACAAGGCAAAAGGGGTATCGCAATCTATGTTATAACAAATATTTGTCAAAAATAACATTTTACACTGGTTTGGATTTAGTATGTAACTTTCACCTGAGTTTTAAGGGTGCAAGGAAAGTGGGAAACGCCTGAAGAGGTGAATCTTTTATTGCATCTAAACAGCCAGACGTGAGGAAAGCAAGTATCCAACAGTCAAAACAGACAGGGCAGCAGAAGTACTCAGCTTCCACCACTTTTTAAAACCCAGTCTAGATAAGTTGGTAAATGCCTTTAGACATTGTGTGGATGTTGCTTTTGTGCAGCTTTATCCCATGGTGCTAGTTGTGAAGTCATGGGACAGAGGCAGTGGCAATGATAAGTACTTGCAGAGTCATTCTAGCCCAGGTAGGGTCAAGGGTGCCAGCTGCATAGTAAAAAGCTGCCGGTTGTGCCTTACCAGTGGAGCAGTGCTGTGCAGAAATAGTTATAATATCTACAGGAGGCTGTAGACACCAGTGTTACAAAACTGAACCCAGTGGAAGGGAGATGGAAGATTCAGGACACATGAAAGACATGTTTCTTCATGCAACACTTAGCCACACCATGGAATTCGCTACCACAAGATGGAGGGAGGACTTCCAATTTGGATGGCTTTAAAAGGAGGTTAGACAAATTAATAGAAGCAATGGCTATCAATGACTACTGATCCTGATGACTATTTGATACCTCCAATATCAGAGGCAGTAGGCCGATGTGTACCGGTTGCTGGGCAACATGGGTGGGAGTGTGCTGTTGCACTCATGTCCTACTTCTGGGTTTCGCACCGGCAGGTGATTGGCCACTGTGTAAACAGAATGCTAGATTAGATGGACCCTTGGTCTGAATCAACAAAGCTCTTCTGTTCTTACCTTTCTGTATGTATATCTTGTAACCCCTTGGAGAAGTATCTAAGTAAAAAAAAAAACAGGAAGTCATGAACAAGAATGTTATTTCCATTGCTTATGATTTGTGCCAACCACCGTCTTTTGTCTTTTGACATAAAGGACTGTTTGCAAAGTGAATTGTTCAACAAAGAGAACATACTAGGAAATGGAGAGAAACAAAGGTTTTGGCAATGATTAACTTTATAATGTTTGAGACTGTCACACTACTGCAGCACTATCAGAAACTATTGTTTTATATGACATTTTACTAGTGGCTGAACTAAAAAGGAAATCTGGTGGCTCAGGTGGTTAAACTTGGACAGAAGGCTGCACGTCATATTTGAAAGTAAGAGAGAATAAGAGGAAAGTGCTTTTCTTCACCATGCCTCAAGGTTTTAAGCACAGGTGCACAGCCACATCCCATATGTGCTGAGGACTATATTTAGAAAAGTACTATCTGGGGAAATGGTTTCAAATTTTGAATGGGAATTCTTTTGAATGAATGAATACATGGATATTTGGTTGCCTCTGTTGAAGCCTTTGCATTACTATGCTAATAGATAATAGTGTATCTTGCTTTTTAAAGAATATACATTTCATGTTAGAAAACTGTAATATTTTATTATTTTTGGTTTCTCTTTTGCTTTAAGGAAATTTGCTATAAAAATTAATGAGAATGAGTAATATATTGGAAATCAAAACCTAATTGGGAAGGTTCCCTTTTCTACAAGATTTTTCAGTATAGTCAGAGGCTAGGAACCATTACGAAGGGTGTTCATTGTTACACTACATATTCATGTTATATTAGTTTAAAAAATGAATACCTACCATTTTGATTGACACAGATTTTGACCTTATGCATTAACATCTGAAATGTCTATTTCAGGTAGAAGCACTGAACAAGATGAAGACTTTGAATAATCTAATAAAACTGAATGCTGTGAAACAAAGCAGAGCTAAAGGAAAAGACACAATGCACACCTGTTTAAAACAAAGAGCATACAAAGAAGCCCTTTCCAATATCCAGTCCCCCCTGAATCCTTCTGTTTTACTTTCAGAACTGCAGTAAGTGCTGTGGTCTTCTGCATTCAAGTGTGCTATAGCTCCTATGTGGAAATAGGCAAGCAGAAGGCGCTTGCTCTTTGACTTCTGCTGGCTCTATTGCTCAGCAGTCGCACTGGCACATGAGACAAGCATTTCTTCATATGGCTGACGCTTTCTTGTTTCAGCCCAGCTTTGTAAGCAAATCTCTGCCTTCCTAAGGTTAAGATGTCAGTTACAGTTTGGACTGAAGATTTTTGTGATTAACCTTTAAAACTTAAATATGTTCTCATGGTATTTCAAATAACAACGAGCCACCTTAAATTAACAATTTGTGTCTGTCTTATCAAAATATAGATCTAGGTTGCAGCCTATGTGGCAGCATTTTTCGCTCACTTTAGTAAGCATACCCTAGTCTGGTTAACCACTTAAACACGAAACAAAGTAAAATTTGGCTGAAGTGTATGTATATACAGAATGAAATATATTTTCTAAGTAAATATGGATTTTTATTTCAGGTCTTGGAATTAGTAGTTGCCATATATAGATCCAAGATCTACATAAGTAGCATGCCAATTTGCCAGAGTAACAGATACTGTAGCAGCAAAATGAAAGTTTTGAAAGGCATTTGTCCAAGTTGTAGAATTCTATTATGGAATTACCTTCAGAGTTATTCTATCCTGCTACATTTTTGTGGCTTGTTAATCTCCTTGCTTAACTCACCAAAATTATTTTTTATGCTTTTTCTAGTGTTGAGAAATGTAAATATATGGACTCTAAAATGAAGCCTTTATGGATAGTATACAATAATAAGGTGTTTGGTGGAAGCTTGGTGGGGATTATCTTTAAAAATGGAGATGGTAAGTAAGCAAAATAGCTTTATTTCCTACAGATACTGTTTCACTCTTAGTTATTATTTCCCCAGCATTTTGACCCTGCAATCTCATAATTTTGATGAACAAATTATAGTGGATCATTGTTTCAGTGCAGTTTGTACTAAAATGCAGTCTGAGAAGAAATGCTACAACCTATTCACTCCACCTGCAGTGTACACCTCTGATGTAACAGATGTTTGAAAAATGTTCCTTGGATTATTGCACTTAATATGACACTGCTTGGTCTTTAAATGCTTGTGATTCCAGTTATTTAGTTTCTGTTATTTGATAAAATTTTATCTTTCTGGCAGATCTACGGCAAGACATGTTAACACTCCAGATGTTGCGACTGATGGATTTACTTTGGAAAGAGGCTGGTCTAGATCTTAGGTAGGAGTTACTACAGTTGCCAGTTTTTCTGTTCTTGGAACCTCTTGTTTTGCAGATATGTACTCGTATAATAAGTCTGTGAAGTCATCATGGATGCTACATATAAATGTCAAAGACTGATGAAAATTTGCTTCATATGGCTGAATTTTTATAGCATTGGTTTTAGATACTTTGTAGGAAATGAAACAGGTTTGTATTACATCTGTTTTGTTAGTTCTGGTTGTGGCAATAATGATTTGCATCACTGTGTCTAATTTTGTATCCTTGGCTTTCTGGAAGGCAAAAGGCACTGCTGACCACTTTAATATAAGGAAGCCATGAACTGGGTTCCTCTTGTCCACAGCAGCATCTCAGCTGCTAGGTTACCATATAACAAAGTGAACCAACACTTTTCCATCTCCTTTAACCAACCATGTCTTCTAGGTGTTCTTGTGTGACACCATTATTTTTGCTGCCAATTACTGATGACTAGCAAAATAGCCAATATTAGGATGGGCGCTGTATATTGGAAGAATATCTAGGAGTCACTTCAACCCACTCTGCAATTCTTGTACATGAGGTTTGGGTTGGAGTGAGAGAGTAGCTAAAGGTCTTTCCTGACAGGAGTGAATGGTAACCATTCGTGTGTATGGCATAAAACAATTGTACTTGTTGAGACCATTTCTCAGATTATATATTTTGTTTGTTTTTACACATAGTAATTCCTCCTACAAACCTCTTTTTAAAACTTACTTTACTTAACACATTTTCCCCAGAAGCACTTCAAGACAGTTAACAAACTTGGAAAATAGGTGTCAACAATGTAAGCAAATATGAAGTGATGCATGTTACAACAACAAATCCAAACTGAATTATGAGCTGATGGAATCTTAGCTGGTGGAGACTGACCATGACAAAGATCTTGCCGTGTACAGCTGCTGTGAAGAAGCCAAACTTTATGTTAAGCACAATTAGGAAAGGAATTAAAAATAATACTGCCCAATAATATAGTGCTTGTCTACAAATTGAAAAAACATTTTGTAGAGTTGAAAAAAGTGCAGAAAAGACAACTAGCTAGAGTGACTCCACTATGAGGAAAGCTAACAATTGCTGTGATTGTCTAGTTTAGAAAAAATGAGTAAGAGGAGGAGATAGAGGTGTACTCAAATTTGTTTGAGCCCTAGATTGAATGGGTAGCCATTGTATTTCTTTTGGAATAGTGCTCTTGGTTATAATCTTTTAATTTTAACAATTAAGCTGACTGAATTTTCTATAGTTTCTTATTGTGATATCCATCCCATGTTCCAGACTGAATCATTATTAATATTAGTAGTGTTCTTAGGACTAGTAGCATTAATTAGATGCCTTTCTCAGGAAATAGGCTCAAGGCTTCTTACAGCAAAACTGTGAAACAAAACTCACAAAATACCCTATATGTCACAGTGTGCTTCTGCATGAATAGTATTTTTTGAGCTCCATGTTTTGGTGTGATTCACATAATCCTGGTAGTATTGGAAGTTGCAGGTGTTCCCTGCAATATTTCTTGCTGAAAACATCAACCAGCGTTTTAAAAAAATCTCTTTTAGAGGAAAACTCCTTCTTTCTTTGGATACCAAAGTGTCAGTGAAACAGTTGGGACTCTTCTGTGCTCTTGAGGATAAGAGTCTGCAGGAGCCTTTCCACTTCAGTTCCCAAGAGGCAGGCAGGCTAAAAGAGCCTTCAGTAGGAATCCTAAAATGGTACTGGTTATTCCTCAAACCTCCCAGCATTAATTAATTGTTCTTTTTATTATCTCCCATGACTTCTAAATCCTATTAAGTCCAAGTCACATGGTCTGCCTTCTTGCCTAGAATTCTTACAGGATAATGTTAGGGATAACATGATGTCATTCTAATTTTATTGCTTATATTTAATCAGTTTCCTTGTCATTGTTCAAGTAATTGTGCAAGGCTTGACATGTTGGTTGCTGCTATAAGCTTTGTTTTATAATGATAGAAACTATATTTCTGACATACTAGATGGTGAACTGAATTCATCTCTTAAATATTTTTGTAGTAATTTGACAGACAGATTGAACTTCAACCTCACAGCAGTAGTACATACAGATAAGAAAGACTTTTAAAAACAAGTGACATATCAGGAAAATATGCTATTCCTGAGAAACTTCTCTTTTAATGATGTTTCCAATATCAAGAATTTAAAGAAGATAGATTAATAAAGGAAATATATTATTTTGTCAGGATAAACAAATGTGTGCTTATTTGTTCTCAAGTCAAATAGTGATTTACCTTCTCTTTGGAAATAGAAAATAAAATTGAGAATCAAGATAGGACATCTGATTCACACCAAGAGTTAGGGCAGGTCTTTTATTCTGACAGCTTTTAAAAATGGATCAGGAATTTTGAATTTGCTGCTTCTATAGTGAAAGACAGAACCTATAAATCTAGCCCACACACCTCGTTTGGCAATCAACTCTGTGTTTAGGAGACTGCTTAGGAACGCTTTCTCTGATTCACTCTTATCTGAAGTCGTCTTTAGGAAATAGAAGAGGATGAGGCTGTGTAAAGGTTACATTCAAAATCTCACAGGAAATGGTGGACCACAGTGAAGAAATGGGCTGAAATCAACTTCAGCAGGGAGCTTTGTGCATATTTTTGTATATACTGTTGACTGCAGCGCTAATACCAACAAGTAAAATTTAAGTTGTCCAAAACCTGCAGAACTGACTAGATAGGCCTATGCTCTGGGTTATAGAAAATGAGTTTTAGATGCCTTGTGACCGGTGCTCCCACTCATTTACACTGATGTCACTGATGCATAGAACCAAAGGAGGGTTCAAGAGTCTTACAGTTCAGTTCTTGCTACAGGGATTCCTCTCCCTTTAATACCTGAAAAGATCCTTATTTATGCAAACTTTTCTTAAACACCTCCAACCGTGGGTAGAGCTGCATGGTACGAAAGCGTCCCTTTGTTTAGGATAGCCTTCTCCAGCTGTGTTGGACTGTAACATCCATTCCCAGCCACTGCACATGCTGGGTATGACATTGATAGTTATTAAAATCCAACAACCAGAAAGCAGCAGGTTGGAGAAGGATCTCCTAGGCCAAGGACTATTTGAATACCATACAGTTTCCCCTCACTTGGAGAAGGTGGATCCTTCAAGTCCTTACTTTTCCCTAGGGAAAGAAGCAGAACAAAATGCACAGCCAGCCTTGGAATTTTGTGGTTTCATAATCTGCTAATAAAGTGGCATACTCTAATATTTACTGCCTACCAGTCTTGTGGAATTTCCTGCTGCCTGGGTTTTAGCTCATTCCATGTCTTACACTCTGGGATGAGTGAGAGGAGGTCTTTTCTTTTTTCTTTGTGGCAGCCTTTGAGGTACCTGTAGAGTGTTTTCCTATCACCTCATAGTTTTCTTTTCTCAAGGCTGAACAAGCCTGGTTCCTTCAGCCTCTAGTCATAAGACTTTTTCCAGGCTCTGTATCATCTTTGTTGCCCTCCTCTGAAGGCTTTCCAGATTTTCAGCATCCTTTTAAACCTGGATGCCCAAAACTGAACACTGTATTCCAGGTGAAGTCTGGGTAGTGGAGGGGAATGAGTACTTCTCTTTTTCTGGAAGTGATACTTCTCTTTATGTATCCCATAATAATGTTTGTCTTTTCTGAGGCTGCATCATATTGCTGATTCATATTTATCTTGTTGTCTGCAACAATTCCAATGGCTTTTTCTTTTCCAGCACTGTTCAGCCATGTATTTCCCATCTTGTATAAATGCAGTTGATTTTTTTAAAAATTTTGGCCTAGGTGGAGAATTTCACATTTTTTCTCATTGAATTTCTTTCTATGCTTTCTGCCCAGCATTCAAGCTTGTCTAGGTCGTCTTGGATCTTCTGTTTGTCTTCCAGGGTGTTAGCTATTCCACTCAGCTAATTAAATTTGTATCATCCACAAATTTAATTATCATTTCCTGAACTTCTTCATCAAGATCATTTATATAGATGTTGAAGAGTACTGGCCCCAGGGCTGAGCCCTGTGGTACCCCACTCGTGACCCCTCTCCAGGCTGAGGCACTGCCACTGATAAACACTGTCTGTGACCTACTTTGAAGCCAATCATGGATCCACCTAATAGTAGTATCAAGGTCTCATTTTGCAAAATTATGTATTAGGATGTCATGGAGTTCTGCTTGTCAGTTCTGCTTCCCTCTAAACCTAGCACTACATGATCAGATTAAAGATCCACTGTCTCTCATATTAACCAGTTCACTAGATTTTGCCACAGAACTTGGAAACTAATTCTAAGCAATTGCCTGGCTAATCCAACAGCCTTTGAAGGTTGCATTATAGGAGGAAAGGACCTACTTCTACATCCCTACTTCTGCCTAGAAAACATCTAGACTGCCACCCTTTAGTACAGCAGCATACTAACCAGGCTGGCCCTATTTGCAAAACTACTAGATTTACACCAATTATTGACTAATACATGGTATAATTTCCAGATATCAAGTTATGTAATACTGTACATGGGTAGGCAGTTTAATATGTTAAAACACCAAGTGCTCAGTCATTCTAACACTGATGTAAAAAAGAGAATGATTGTTGTGAAAATTTGAGCTTAAATGATTCATTTATTTATTAGATTTGTTTAAAGGCAGCCTATTAGCAACATGCTCTCTGGGTGGCCATTACAATAATACTGAGCAAGGTTTTTTGTTTATTTTTTCAGAGGTATGGTTATAGCAAGGAAATACATAGTAAACAAATGCATGTTAAAGAACTGCATATGGGACAGGATAAGGAAAACAGTATAGGCAGCTGTAAATATAATAGATTAGAATAGGATTGAGGTGCTATCATAGCAAGGCTCTTTGGAAAAACAGTTTATTGGGTTACTAAGTTTGGTGTGATGTTAACAGTTTACTCACGAACAGCTTC